TGGGCCAAGGAGGCCAGCCTTACACCCTCTCACTGGTCCCAATCCCATTCCTCACCGCTCCCAGTGACAGGCCAGCCCCTCTGGGGCCCACCCTGGTCAATCTTCTAGTCCTTTCACTCTGAGAAAGGGCCAATTCTCTCCAAACATGCTAAGACATGGGGGTAGGGCCTTGAGAAGTTCAGGATGGCAGGTTGAGAAGGGTTCCTCCACCCTGGCCAGACTGCCTTTCAAAGGAGAGGTGTTCAAGGCAATGCCTCATGCTTCCCCAAATCTTCCAGCCTCTGCCCCTTTCCAAATTCCAATTCCAAAACCACTTACATTTTAAAGTGTTTATTACAGCAGTACTCTGCTTTAGACACCAAAATCTGTATGCTTCTTATGGCTGCTGCAACAAATTCCCACAAACTTAGTGACTTAAAACAACACCAAGTACAGTGGCACACATTTGTAAACCCAACTACTTGGGAAGCTGAGGTAGGAGGATCACAAGTTTAAGGCCAGCCTGGGCAACCAAGTGAGACCCTGTTTCAAAATTTAAAATAATTTTTTAAAAATATTTATTTATTTATTTTTAAAATAGCAATATCTTCATTTTATTTATTTTTATTTTTTAAAGAGAGAGAGAGAATTTTTTTTAATATTTATATTTTAGTTTTCGGCGGACACAACATCTTTGTTTGCATGTGGTGCTGAGGATCGAACTCAGGCCGCACGCATGCCAAGCGAGCGCGTTACCGCTTGAGCCACATCCCCAGCCCCCATCTTCGTTTTATTTTTATGTGGTGCTGAGGATGGAACCCAGGGCCTCACACATGCTAGGCGAGTACTCTACCACTGAGCCACAACCCAGCCCTAAAATAATGTTTGAAAAGGGTTGAGGATGTAGTTCAGTGGTAGAATAACTCTGAATTCAGTCTCCAATACTACAAAAGAAAACAACAGCAACAACAACAAAAGAAAAAAAACCTCCATAATTATCGCCTTACATTTCTAGAGGTTAAAAGTCCAAATTCAGTTTCACTGGGCTTAAAATCAAGGTATCACAGGACTGCATTTTTTCCTGGGGCTCTAGGGGAGGTCAGGCTGTCTGCATTCCTTGGCTCATGGCCCCTTCCTCTAGCAATTGCATCACCTTGACCTCTACTTTCATTGTCACAACTTCTCCAGTAAATATTCCTGCCTCCTTCATATAAAGAAGACCCTTATGATTAAACTGAGTTTAATTACAATCCAGGACAATATTTCCATCCTTAATTATACCTGCAAAGTTCCTTTTGCCACATAAGGTAACAGTTCCAGCTTTGGAAGATTAGGACATGGGCATCTTTGGAGGCTATTATTCTGAGAGGAGGACAGGGTTGCTTTGCCAGTCTCAGTACAGTATAGGACTCTTATCCTTGGCAGAAGAGTCTTAAAGGAGGATCAGGCCACTGTCCTAGCTACCACCCTCCAGGAAACTTGGTGCCTGACCCTGCTGCCGCCAAGGACAGCCTGTTCTCCTGGCGTGACTGTCATGCAGGGATCAGGTGCACTTGAGCCCTCAAAGCAGCCATGGCTCAACCTGAACAGCTGCCTGACTCAGGCAGGAAGCCAGGCCCTCACGGCTTCCTCTCTGCTGACTGAAATTCATGAGAGTTGCCATCAGGTCAGATGTGGGCCAAATGAGAAGTTCTAGCCCTATCCTAGAAAATGTAGGCACTGTGGACATTTAATGAACTTGAGTATGCCAGACTCACAGGGGGCCCCAGGGAGATAAGCAAGACAGGCAGGTTTCCAAATGTATGGGACAGAATGTCATTGGCACCAGCAAAGATATAGGTTAGGGGCAGGTGGGGAGAACACAGAGGTCAGGGCAGGTGTCCCAAAGGAGGCAGCATTTGTGTTGGAGCTTGGAGGGTGAGTGGTGAGCAACAGCACTCCGATGGAAGCACTGACAGGACAAAGGGAAGGTGTGTTTAGAGGGTGGAGGGTAATACAAGAAGGCCGAAGTCCAGGGCAGCAGAAAAAATAATCTAAAGGCAGATGGGAAAAGAAAAGGCATGCAGGTCTGTAGAAGTTAAATGGGTTCCCACCTTAAGCCAGCAGTTCTCAAACCTGTCAAGAGTCAAACCCTTTGTTCACTTACTCAGCACTAATGGGGCCAGGAAGGGATTCCCAGGGCCTTTCCCACAGCCATCCTCCCTGACCTCTTCAGACCTGGATTCTGCACAGACACCATCCCTACCTAGGTCACAGGGAGTCAGCCAAGGATTTAGGACAGAGATTGGGAGCAAGTGATGGACCAGGGTTCAAATGGGAGTCAGGGGGTAGGAAAGGGTATATTTCTTGCAGTTAGGGGTTTGGTGGCACATTTCAATAAAGCAGCACATTTCAATAAGCTCCATGAAGAAAACCAAGGATGGCTTAGGGAAGCACCAAACTGTGAGACAAGACCGCAGTTGTCAGAGGAACAAGTGGAATTCTTTCTCAGAGTACCTTGAAGAAGGACTCCTATACCTGCTACCCAGGTTCTGGGCTCATGTTTAAGGAGGCTGGGTGAGCAATAGGGACATCCCTCAAGACCTCAGGAGCTTGCAGAGCCTGGACTGTACCATCCGCTCCACATGTTCTGGCCTCAAGGTCTTCTTTGACATGTACCAGAAAACATGGCTAAAGTCTCTGGCTCTAGCCTCAGGACTAAGGGCGGGGTGGGTGGGGGACAGGGCTGGTGAGCCTGGTTTGCCCTAAGTGAAGCCACTAGCTGCCCTGGCCTAGGCCTTAGGACACTCTGGCCCTGGTGAGGAGGGGCTAAAGGGAGATGTAGGCTGCCAGCCTCTCAGTGGTTCCATCTCCAGAGGGCAGGGAGAAGTTATGAATACAGGACTGAAATCCCTGATGTCCCTCCTTTCCAGACTGTCTTGGTAACCACTCTGATCCAGTTTCAAATTGACATTTGCCTACCAGAAGTTTCCTATTACTGTCTATGCCTGCCTTACATCAGTGCTGAGCATGTGATGCAGGAGGGCATTCCGGTCTGTTCTCTTGTTTGCAGACGATCAAAACACCTGCAAGAAAAATGCAGTTCATGGGCCCCCTCACAAATATCCTATAAAATAAAGCACTCTGGTCCCATATTGCTGGGCCTGGAAGCCAAGGCTGAAAAGGTGAAGTCATCTGCCCAAGGTCTCATCCTGGTGAGGGGCAGACTACAGAATGTGAATCCAGGCTGATAGATCTTCCACATCACAGCTCCACATCCAGGACCCAATCAAGTTGTGGGTACAGGCTTAAGGCACTGCTTTGCCAATTCACTTGGCTTAGACCTTTTTCCCAGTGGAGTCAAGCCCCATATTTTTCTAGGAAGGAAGTTGTCCCCAGGGTGGTTCCTGCTCCAATGACCCCAGCTGCCCCTTCACTGTGATTCTCCATCATTACACTCTCTTGGGTGCCATACCTACATGTTTGCCAAGGCCCTTCCTTAGTCATGGGCCTGAGGACAGCAGGGTGAGACTGTCAAGGAGGCCAGCATTGGTAGAGGTGTATCCCAAGCTGGAGGAACAAAGGTGTACCAGACAGCTAGGAGGTTATGGCGGCTGCCCTGAAATGCTTCTGAAGAGCCAAAGAGCACAGACAGTGGAAAGAAAGGGAAAGAGAAAAAAAAAAGGGGGGGGGGGGGACTTTGGAAGGCATGGGGGCTTGCTCAGGAAATAAGGAGCCTTGCCCTCCCAGGTTCCTTATATAGCAGCTATGTGGAAAAGTTCAAGGTTGGGACAGAACACCAGGGCTCTGGGACCTGCAGCATGGCCTCTACAAGGTGAACTCCCCTCCCCTCACCTCACCATAGCATTGGGTATCATCCAGGCCTGGTATGACTCCAGGAATATAGACTACCTTAAGGCTGGAACCTAAGTTCTTGTTTCCACTTGGCTACCTCCTATGATACCATCTGGATAGTGGGCATGAAAGCTCTACTTGGCTGACCAAGAGTAAAGTGAGGCTTCTGCTTTGCATTGCCCTTGGGCTTAGAAGAGCCAGATTCACAGAGGAAGGAAGCCTGCATTGGTAAATGCAAGACCCAGTCCTAGAATTCAGCACTACTGACTCCAACAGAAGATACTGCCCACCAGACCACCTGCCTCTGGCTAAAGCACTTCAGGTCAGGCCCATGAAAGTACCAGGGCATGGGGGATAGGTCTGGCAGAATGAGCCTGCTGGGTCTCCTTGGTACTCACTCTGATACAGTTTCAAATCGACATTTGCCAACCAGAAGTTTCCTATTACTGTTGACAGGAGTGCTGGTCTTTGGTCCTCCTGGTTGCCATGAATCTACCAGACTAGCTTAAGGAAGGAGCTGGGTGGAGGCCATAACTTGGTACGTACTGTCTTAGCTTCTCATTCTTCCAGCCCCATCCAGAGAAACTTGGAAAGGATATTCAGCTAAAAGCTATGGAAATAAAAATAAACAAAAACCCTGATCACCTTCACTGGCTCAAACCTTCAGTTAAATGAATGTTGGTGTGTGACCCAGAATTGAGTGTCAAAGACCCCTAGCCCCATCCCTTCCAGGGAGTAAGCAGGCAACCCTCAGTTGAAGTTCTGATGAGGTTCCTATGCTCAGAGGCTAGGCCCAGTTAGAAAAGTATGTGTGCATGCACTCAGGGCAGTGGAGGACTAAGTCCATCTGAGGAGTGCAGGGCCCTATGGTACCCAAGGTTAAGAGTGTGTGCCTCTATGCTTCCTCATACTATGTCCCACCCACCCACCAGGCAAGGGACTGATAGCCAGCCTTGTTGGGACAGGAGGAAGCTCTCATCCCTATCACTACCTGGGGTTAAGAAGACAGGGCCCCGGGGCTGGGGATGTGGCTCAAGTGGTAGCGTGATCGCCTGGCATGCATGCGGCCTGGGTTCAATCCTCAGCACCACATACAAACAAAGATGTTGTGTCTGCCAAAAAAAAATTAAAAAAAAAAAAAAAAAAAAAGAGGACAGGGCCCCATAAATCACAACAAAAACACTGGGTCACCATTTGTCAGTCTCAATACTTTACTTCCCAATATCTCCACAGCAATTCCACTAACAGAAACACAGAGCAACCTGCCCTCGACCACTCTGATTTGATGGAGCTAATTCGGAACTAGGGTCTGCCCAGCTTCTGAGCCAAATTAGATGTCCCTGCCCTTAGCTGTTCAGGAAGCACATCCTCATCCTTGTTTCCAAGTTTTCTAGAAACGTAAAACATGGGGAATCACAGAACAATGGGAAATGCTACAAGCACCTGGGTTTCTGGAAAGCACCATTCATCTCCCTCTTAGCAGCATTCCAAGAAGAAATGGTCAGCCAGGCATTCAGTCAGGCTGGGGCCCTAGCCAAGCATCCACATGATAGACACACTATGGCCCAGACCTCTGGACATGCAGGAACCGGGGCCTGAGGAGACAGTGGCAAGAAACTGGTTACTGCCTGTGCTCTAGGGAACAAATGCACAGAGGGTGGAAATAGTGCACTTGGGGAAATGAGGGGTAGAGCTTACCTCCCACAGAAGTCCCTACGTACAGCCACAAGATTGAGGCACAGGTCAGGATGACTCTGAAGCCAGTTGCTGACGAGCTCTGGGTGCCTCGGTTCTACTTCCAAAAAGATGCTTCTACATGAAAGGGAAATACATTGGTTCAACTGGGATTTTCAGTTTGGGGTTGTCTGGGCTGAGAGAGGTGGGGGAAGAATGACTTCCAGGGCATGCCCAGCACACATTGGGAGTGGAAGAGGCTACTGTGGATAGACCTAGAACACCCATCCCATCCGTACCCAGAGTCCTTCAGGAATTGGGGTGCCAGGGTCAGGATATGGGTAATGATGTCCATGCCTTCTTCCCCACCATCCAGGGCCACTGGGTCTTCATAGCTAGATGGGAAAACAGTGGCAAGTGAAACCCTGGTGGGGGAGTGTGTCTGAAAAATGATAAGGAAATAGGAAGGGCCTCCACAAAAAGGCCCAGTGGCACTTACATTCTGGGCTGAGAGGCAAGTGTGAAGACCTAGAGAAAGTGGTACTCAAAGGGATGGCAGCTTTTACTTCCCTACTCCTGTGGGCAGCAGTCCCAACAAGCAATGCCAGGCATCCTTGCTGAATTCCACTGATAGACAGGCCCCAAGGTGTGCGGGTCTCCCTACCACAGGGCTATTCCTGCTCCTAGTGGGAAGGTCTAGGGCTATCCTTAACCACCCTTGAGAGCCTAGAAAGGAGGAGCGAGCAACCCAACCCCTATTGTCATTGACCCACCTAGGAGGTCCTTGGCTACCCCTGGTTCTCAGCTCATGCAAAAATAGGATGGCTTGGTACAAAGCCTGAAGGAGGGTTTTAGACCCAGCCTTCCCACTAAGCCCACAGAGGCCCTTAGACAAGGCATCTTCCCTCTCTGGGCCTCATTCTTCTGTAAAATGACATAGACATCTACTGAGAACCTTCTATGAGCCCTCACTGTGTCCAGTGCTTTAGAGTTGTCACTGAGTCCTCCCCATGGCCCTGCAAACCATAGTCACTACCCCTGCATAAGTAGGAAACTGAGGCTAAGGGAAGTTAAAGGGCACCCAGGAGTCAAGTGGGAAGGTGGAAGTTGAAGCAAGGTGTGCCTGTGGGCTGTAGACGTACCTCTCAAAACCACTGCTCCTTTCAGCTCTCACCTTACCCCTACAGATGGTGTGGTCATCCGGGGAGGACCGATTCTACTAGGCTTTCTCAGGGCTTGCCCTCTCATTCCACCCACTCCCCAGCACCTTCGGATCTCTGGGGCCAGCTGCTCCATGTCGTGGTGGAAGATATAGGGAGGGTTGCTGACAATCAGGTCCATGGGGCCCCAGGGCAAAAGGTGTGTCCAGCTCCCCACTATGGTCAAAGAAGGAAACATACAACATGAACTTTCCACTGACAGATAAAGGTATTAACTCTACCTGCCACCATGTGCCTCTTTCCAAGCCATATTTTCCTCTAGACCTGATAAGCTAGATTTGCTGATTTGGGTCCAGAGTCCCTAAAGAGCAGCTCAGTCAGGAATGGACATACTGACATGAAGCTTTTCACTCAGGATGTCCTACCTCTTTCTCCTTCCTGCCAAAACCTTATTAACCAAGATTCATTTCAAGTGCCACCTCTCTGATCACCTAGGCAAAGCAAAAGCCTCTGTCTTCTGCAGCCCTACTGGTCTTGCCACACTGCCTTACAGCCAATATGGTCTGAAAGTACCTAGAGAGTCAGCAACTTCTGATGGCTCTGTTTCTTTGACCCACCCTTTGACAGCTACTATACCAAGTGTATGACGCTCCACATGAGGCTCAGAGACTCCATGGTAATGCAATGGAACCAGAATTGGAATTGGAAACCCGAGGACACTATGTAAAAGCTGAGGCTGTGCTATACAGTGCTGGGCCACTTCTTCCCAGGCCAGAGGTGGGGAGGGCACTTACATATTTTGGCCCTAAAGGCTTTTGTTTGATCTTACTTATTGCTTGTCAACAAGTAAGCCCTAGTTCAAATCATTAGTTATGGGGGAGGAAGAAGGTCCTCTCATGGGTCAGGTCAATTACTGAGAAAATAGCAACTTGGATATCGTCAGCAAGGACTGGTCTGTAATGGCCAGGGTATATGTGACTGTTGGGTAACCCTCCCCCAATAGAGTGCCTCATCCACCCAGAATCCCCTGTATTCAGGATCCCCACTCCAAGGAAGATGGGTGGGAGAGAGTACCTGAGGTCACATCAAAGGGGATGATCTGAATCCTGTCCTGCAACCGTAGCCTGAAGAGATGGGAAGGTGGGGTGAGTACAGGTGGCAGATCCCAACCCTTGGCTACAAGGATCAGAAGGGATAGTGAACCTTTCATGAACCAGCAAATATTCAGTGTTCAGCATCCATTCACACCCTGTGGGACCCATGCCAGGCCACCCGTATTGCATCTCCTTCCTTGGGAGCAGACATCAGACTTCAGTGGGTTGATATTTGAATAAGAGTCAAGTTCATGCCCCAAAATCCAACTCCCCTATGCTGACCCTCTGGCTGTCCCAGCCTACTTACCTCTGAGCATTCTCATAGGTCAGATTGATGGCAGCTTCCTCTTTATCCACAGCAATGACTTGGCTCTGCCCCAAGAACAAATGATGGGAGACAGAGTGTTGGGAGATGCCAGGTCCAATCACCAGCATCCCCCACCAGAAGAGAAGGGAAATACTTAACAGCTTTTTCCTCTCTGGCCAGGATCTACCCAAACAGATGGGGATGAGAGTTAGAGGCTGTGACCATGCTGGGCTGGAAACAATCCTATCCTTTCCCTCACGTGCTTCTAGCAAAGAGATGTGGGAAGGACCAAAGGGAGGGACAGTGCGTATCACTCCCAGTCTGACCAGAGTAAGGCAAGGGATGTAGAGAGGGCTTACCTGAGGGAGTTGGCTCAGTAGGCTGAGGGAGATGGCTCCTGATCCACAGCCCACCTCCAGAATGAGGGGACCACCTTGGGCTTCTACCACATTGGGCCTCTGGGCCACCTCCTCCAGTACCCATTCAACAAGTTCCTGTGAGGCAGAGGGGCCTGGATCAGCGTTGGTGCCAACCTGCCAACTTGGCAAAGACACCCAAGCAGTTAATGCCAGTGTGAATATAGAAAGAGGACTGAGCAAAGTCAGATTGAACTTTATGTCAGCTGGGGGCATGGGTAGGTCACCCAGCATCTTCATGCCTCAGGTCAGTTACTGAGACAATAGCAACTTGGCTATCCTCAGCAAGGACTGGTCTGTAATGGCCAGGGTGTATGTGACTGTTGGGTAACCCTCCCCCATCTGTAAAATTCAGCATAGTAGAGGATAACCCTCTTCATGGGACTGTGGTAAGGATTAAACCGAGTCATGTTCATGAAACATTGATCCTGCACACACAGGAAGTGCACAATAAACCTCAGCAAAGCACTTTCCAGACATCCTCCCATTTTGTGATCACAGAAATGCAAAGATCCATGCCTGATGCCTCCTGGCCACTCCCTCTGTGCCTGGCCCTGCTCCCAAAGCTTTCCCTGTATTAATCTGTTAGATCCTCACAACTGGCCCACAAGGAAACTGAAGCCCAAGGTCAAGACTTCTCCTGGAGCACGGCCTGTGGCTCATACCAATCAAGATCAAGAGGCAGAGGATGCAGCTCAGTGGTAGAGCATTTGCCTAACATGCAAAATGCCCTGGGTTCAAGTACAAGCAAGCAAGTAAGAAAGAAAGGGAAAGAAAGAGAAAGAGAATCAGGGGCTGGGGTGTCCCCAGCTTCTGGGAGGCCCCTAGGGAGGCTCTACACCAAAGATCAAAAGGAAATTCCCTCTGTAGAGTAAGGACATATCTGAAGGGAGTTGTGGTATACAAAGAGCGTGGGATAAAGGGTATGTGTGTGGGAGGAGGTGACTGACTTTACTGTACCCACCTTAGCAGTAGGAGGACACTTTAAGATATAATCACTTATGAAAAAAGAAGGTTTCAAGTCTCAACTCACCATCTGCTGCCTGAAGAGACAGTGTATGCAAGCTGACATAGGATGGGGCAAGAGGTAGACAGCCGTTGCTGTCCTATGGCTGAAACATTTCCAATCAACAGTGGGGGTCCTGCATAGACAGGCATAGAGCAAAGAAAGGACAGTGTAGCTCCTACTCAAAGGCACCCCTTTAAATGTGGGCAGAAGAGCCCACAAGAGACTTAGGACTCCTGGGATTTCAGCTCCCAGGCAAGACTGGCTCAGGAAACTGGAGGAAAGAGAGAAGGGACAAGCATGTGGGTGCTTCTTTCTTCAGAAGAGAAGCCAAATTTCTCCAGAAAGCTTTCTCAGCTCCTAGCCAGGTTCTTTCCACCCTAACTTTCCCCATCCTCATCTAAGGTCAAGAATGGGGTTTGTGTCTTTCACCAGACTCCATGATGGGAAGACCTGGAGTTTGATCCATACTGGCAGGGCTTGGCCTGCAGTGGTGTCCCCTGGCTGCTTTCCAAGTGCTAGATAAGCTTTCCTTGGCCTGGGGAAGCCACCCTCCAAGTCTTATACCCCCAGGTCCTCCTAAACCCCCAATGTGATCATTTAGGTCCAAAGGAACAAAAAGCTCCAGATCACTCATTAGCCTTATAAGTTGGTCATGCTGAGTCCCAAAAAGTATCTCATCCTTCCTGGATGAGATACTTTTTTATTTTTGCTACTGAGATACCTCAGTAGCAAAACTTATCCATTCCAAAAATAACAAGTTTAAAGTAGGCAGAAGTTGGCAGTGGGTCCAGCCATCCCTGTTCTGAGTTCCTTCTGTAATTAAAAAAAAAAGCCATTGCCTACAGCTTAGAGAGTTCAGCTCCAACAGGAAGTTTTCCATTCACTGGTCCTGTGCTAGGCATGGCTAGGGACCACTGCAGTGCTCTTAGCAAGCTGAGTACATAGGCTTCAACTGGTATAGAGTGTGCAGTCCAGGGCTGTGGTTGAGAGACTGTGGTGAGGCCACATGCTGAAAGGCTGGCAGGGTGATGGAGATTTGTGAGGGGCCTGAGCCTCTTTTGGTTTGCTGACCACAGACAGCCCACTGTGGCTGATGGATGACCCCTCATCTAGCCACACTGACCAGCTATCTATAAGACCCACAACCTCAGACACCTATGTGAACGGGGTAGGGTGCAAGGCTGACAGACTGGCCACTAGTGGCCTGTTGCTCTCCTTTCCACTCTAGACCATAGGAACCTCATTTTGGTTATAGGGCAATCTGGAGGGGCACAGAGAGAAGCCAAGTGTCCAAGGAACCAGCAGGAAATCTAGAAACTTCTTCTTCCCCAAAAGTATAGACCTTCTTTGGGGGAGGCTGAAAGATGAGCTGGTCACAGCCCTAGGATATCTCCTCCAGGTGAACATGGGAAGAATCCAAGAATATGGTGAGATAGAGGGATAGAGACATATAGGAAGGAGGCAAGAAGCAGGCTGTTGTTGACTCTGCCTGGAACCACTGCATTCACATGCGTAGGTTGGCCTAAGAATTTGGCAGGACCTGAGGACCCTCCATTAGGATCATATCTCTAGTGGGAGAGCCCCAGGAAGGAGGCATTGCCCCCCAAAACCAATCATAGAAAAAGCACTGAGCCTCCCACACCCCAAACTGCCTCACCACATCAGGCAAAGCCAGATGGCTCATACCCCAGCCTTGGGTTTCCTACTGTACATACTGCCACATGGGAAACTCAGCTACCTTATCGCCCCCAGGGAAAACCCAACTCATTAGGCCACAAGGCACTTGCAATCTTGCTTTTCAGACTTCATCATCCATCATCAGAAACCACCCTTCAATGGATGGAAAGAATACAGACACCATGATCCCTCCCCTGCACCCATTTTCCCCATGCCCTGCCACAGGCCACGTCCTCTTGAGTTCTTGGTAAGGCACCCGGCCCCAGTGTGGCTTCACATGGGGCAAACCTGGTGAATTCTCAGAAATGTCTACAACGAGACGAGGACCTGGCCTTCCAACCACAGCATCTCTCTTCTTCCCCACCTCTTGTAGTAAAGCTGTGCTCCTGGTCCACACTCAACCAAGAAAGGGGGACCAAATAGAAGCTAGAAGTTCATACTCAACACTCAAATTCCAGAACTGTGGCTGGTGTCAGGTCAATTCTGAGGGGACTCAAAGGTTACCATGATAGATACACTCCCATTCTCTGACCCTTGGCAGCTTCAGGGGATGGCAAGTAACCTCCTAGCCAGAAGCTACATGTCTGGGGAAGCCAAAAGCCTGCAGGTGATAGGCTACATCCTGCTCCAGGTCTCTGCAACCCACCTTGGGTCATGCCAATCCTAGATGGAACACACCTATGTAAAGAGTCAAGAAGTCTTAGAACTATCCCCATACCCCCCTCCTTTAAAAGCCATATGACTCCATCAAGGCCTCAGATTTCCTACTGCCTCTTCCCTGACACTGGGAAGTAAGGCAAGGATCCTGTCTCCAAACCATATGATGTGGAGGTGAGGGATAAAGCTTTCTTTGACTGGGAGACAGAGGCTTCGAGAGTGGGGAGGCGGGAGGGTTTACTCTGGGACTCTATCTAGGGCAAGTGAAAGAGTCCTGACCTTTCCCAGGAATGTTTGTGACTAGATACTTTTATAGAAACAACCTTATAAGAATTTGGTATCCTCTGGCTTGCCCACTAGGCCCCACCCAGGCCTGTTCCACCCTGTATCTACTCTCTCAGACTACCTGCTCTGCCATTCACAAAGTAACAGAGATGTCCAAGAAGGATCACAGAAACCATCTCTCCCAGGATCAGAGTACCTTCCCAAGGGACAGCTTGTCTGTAGCACACATTCCCAGTTTGAGTAATTTGAAGAATGGATATAGGTGATTACCTATCAAGGCAGTGGACCCAAGAGGTCCTCCAAGCCACAGATCCACTGGTCAGAAGGCCCAATCTTATTATCTGTGCCCAGAGGGGGCAGAGACCTTCCTATGAGCATCCAGCTAGAACCCTCTCTACCTCCCCCATGCCACCTAGGAAACTGCTAGAGGGCATTTGATTCCCATGGGTTAGGTGTCCATGGGCCCATAAGATAGCTCCTACAGAAACAGGCAAGCACTTGAACAGCACTACTTGGAGCACTCTGGGATGCAGCCAGCTCTGGGACCTGGGGTGATGGCTTGGAATGTCAAGAGTCAAGGGGATCAACAGGAGTCCTCTATCTTCTTGGTTTGGCCAACACAGCCAGCAAGGAGACCCATGTCTAGAAGAGCACTGCCCCTGCGAATGGCTGTCATGGGACACCAGCACCCCCTGGAGGACATCTTGGGCAAGACAAATACTATGAACCCTAGTCATCCCTATTCTATCCTGTCCTGGAAGGACACTCACTCACCTCTGTTTCTGGCCGAGGAATGAACACTGGGGGCAACATCTTCAGACTAAGCCCCCGAAAGTCCCACTCCCCAAGGATGTACTGCACAGGTACCCTACAGAGGGGGAAATTAGGTGGTCAGCACCAGAGCCAAGACAAATAGGACCATGTTTGTGTTGAAGAATAAATATCACTTGTAGTCAAAGCTGTCAGGCAGAGCCATAACCCAGTGCCCTGGGATACCTAGCCTAGACCTGTCCTCTCTTCCTTCTTCCTATTTACTACATGGCTCCCTCTTGCTACTTCATCATCCCAATACCTGCCTAGTTCTCTGATGCTTTCTTCTTCCCTAACCACGAACTTGGTGGGGCTAGGGGAGGCTGGACCCTTGCTACCCATATAGAGTCCTCAGGTCTCACCCTTGGGCACCCACCTCTGCAATCGGCGGCTACACAGAACCTGGATACACTGCAGTTGCTGAGGAGTCAGGGGCTGTGTCCAAAGTACTGGCTTCAGGCTCTGAAACTGTACTAACAGAGAATGTGAGTGTTTCCTGATCTAGGGGCCCAAATCCAGGTTATGTGGACAACGCCTGTGTGTCCGGTGCTGGTCACCTTAGTCACCCCCAAATTACTAGTGCCAGGTGCATGTTTTAACAGTTTGTTGGATAAATAAATAAGTATCTGCCTAAGACATTTATTCAGAAAAATCCCATCAGGAACTTGGGTTGTAGCTCAGTGGTAGAGCTACAACCCAAGTTCATGTGAGGCACTGGGTTTGATCCTCAGCACCATATAAACATAAACAAATAAAATAAATGAATGAATAAATAAATAAAATATAGGTACTGTATTCATCTACAATGAAAGAAAATTGAAAAGAAAAATCCCATCAGCTTTAGCTAAATCTCATGGTAAAGAAAAAAGCCCAATGTCTCTTCCATAGAGCCCTCCTTCATCCCTCTTCCTGCCCTCCTGACAATACTGTACTTAACTGTTTTGGCTCCGAGGACATGGGCCACGATGTACTCACTGGATTCTCTGGCTTCTGGAATGCCTCTCTTTTCAAAGACCCTTGTCCAGTGGCTGACCAACCCTGTGGGACTCAACAGCCCAGCCAGAGGTGGGTGGGACTGCCAGGAGCTGAATGCCAAGCCTCGGATGCCTCCCCTCCTTCTCCCAGGGCCAGAAAGGAGGGCCCATAGCATTTGGGCCCAAAGCTTCATGGCTTAGGGAAAAGCTGCCTGGAGTGCTCCCAGTTTCCAAGTCTTCCTTGAAATGTCAGGTGAGGTAGGTGCTAGGAGAGGGAAGTAGAGAAGTCACTGGCTTTGGCTCCCCAAAATGGTTCTGGTCCTCAGATGTGGGTACCACCTTAGGGGGAAAAGACAGGAGAATCAAAAGTTGCCTGAAAAGGGGCATGCTCTTACTCTGCCTTAACTCCATTTTGACTCTTACCTACCTATTAGACTCTTCTTGTCTTAGACAGTTGTTCTCTTCACATTTTCAGGTGAAGTGGGCTGAACCAGTAGCTGTCCCTGCTAATAAATAGGCTAGTGGTGGGTCACAACATGGGTTTGGAGGTAGGACAGATCTGTGTCTTCTCCTAGCATGTGTGACCTTGGGCAAGTCATTATTTCTGATTTTCAGTTTCCTCATCCATAAAATGGGAGAAATAACCCCACAGTGAGAAGTGCATTCGTCCATGAATGTCAAGAACCTGCACCAGCTTATCACACAGCAAGGGCTCCATGTTACAAGCTTTAACTAATGTTTTAAGTGGGAGACTGCCTGGTTTAGGAGATTTGCTTGTGACATTTGGCACTTCCTGTCATTGAGCCGAAAGTTTCCCTCTAATTTAACCCATAATCCCAGATGTTAGCATAAATGGCCAGCTAAAAAAACTGAAAAGTTTATATTTAAATGTTCACAAACAAGTTTAACTGAGGGCTTAAATCAGCGGTCCCTTTACTTTCAGACAGGCTAAGGTCCAAACTTGCTTTTACCGAGCACCTTCTAATTGCTACATCCTCAAAGATAAGCAGGATCCAGGAAGGGAAGCAACCTTCCCAACGTCACCCAGCTAGGAACTGTCCCGAGCAGGACATGAATCCGGGTCTGCCGCACTAGAGGCAACTCTCCACCTGTGCGCTGCCCTTGGAGTAACCAAAGATTTAAGTATGGGACACAGCCTGCTTCCCAACTCCGCATGGGCATTATCAATGACCCTGAAAAGGCCGCCTCTCTACAAGTCTGCTTCTCCATCTGCACTAAGTCGGGTGGAGCTGGTCAGGTCTCAAGGGTGTTGCAATCCAGGCGCACACACCATGGTCCCCACCTATAGTGCACACCTGCCAGAGGGGCTGTTCCACCCACTCGGGGCTGCTCGCCTACCCACCCACCGGCCTGGGGAAAACCACTCGGTATCGGTTTCCGGACGTGCGTAGCCTTCAGTGTGTTCCTTCGGATACCCAGCTTCCGGGTCCGCGCAGGCAAAAAAGGCTCGGGCAGACTTTGTCATTCAGCTTCAGCGTTCCTAACGTCTCTGAGTTCCTCCGCATACTGTGAACTCCACGCCCAAGGCTCCAGGGGCGGGAAAGTCCGGGGACGTGTGTGGGGTGCACCCTAGCGGCCCAGACTGGCAGGTATTCCTTAAGGTCACGGCAAGGATGTGGATCCAGCCTACCGTGAAAGACTGGAGCAGGCGTTTAGGGACCTGGCTGGCGAGGAGCAGGCCGGAGCGGGTCGTCACCAACTAACTGAGGTTCCAGCGCGGGCCCGATGTCAAGGGGCGTGGTCTCACATACTCTGTGGGAGGAGACAAGGTGTGGTTCACTGTGTGTTCAGTGTGGAATAGTGGGTTCCAGTATTCCCAACGGATCCCAATTTGGGGGAGAGGAACCCAGTATTCCGGACCTGGCTGAGGGTGATGACCCGGGGCGAGATTCAGTAGTGACCGGACCCCAGGGTCACTCCTGACCTTCTCTCTCGCTAATAGGATTTGGAGCAGGGAGCTGAAAAAGCAGAACTCCAGAGAACTGGGTTCGAATTCTAATTCTATTAGCAACTCGTCATGAAGCTTGGGGCAGACGCCCAGACCTCTCTGGATCTCAGTTGCTCTTTCTATAAAATTCATGGCAGTGTCTCACGAAATACACCTCCTACCAGAATATACTAATTAGATCACTATTAACACTCTACTATTAAACACGTGGCTCCCCAGGAGCCACAGGCATCTGCATTTGTACCTAGCTACCCCGTGATCCCCATAAACTCCTTTTAAAAAATATATATATTTTTTGGTTGTTGATATAGACCTTTTTATTATTTATTTATTTATATGTGGGGCTGAGGATCGAACCCAGTGCCTCACACATGCTAGGTAAGCGCTCTGCCACTGAGCCACAGCTCCAGCCTCCCCCCCCCAAACTCCTTTGAAAGCCATTGCACTGGAGGATGTCTAAGGGCTTCTTGCAGTGATCATGCTGTAGATTTCAGGTATTGTGAGATATAGGTAGACTAGCCTGCGTTGGGGTACCCAATAAATACCACCCAGATAAAAATTCCACCCGCCGGTGGTTGGAGTCATTTAACCAGAGTCCTCACTCGAGAGCCCCGGTCTGAGTAGGAAGCCGAGACACAGGGAGGGGAGGCAGCTTGCTCAAGGTCACACGGCAAAAGGTCCTGTTAGAGTTAACTCAAGCCCAAAGAACTCCAACTCCAGTGCTCTCTCTAAGCCTCCTCCGTATGTCTGCGTTTTGGGGCCCGAGTGTGTCCCGGTGAAGGTGGAGCTGCCCAGGAGCCCGAGTTGTGGCCCAGGAAAGGCCTGGTCACCCTTGGTCCCCTGCCGGATGTCGGTGTAGGCCACCAGAGTGAGGGGTGGTCTCAGAGAATTGCTACCTGGCTCCGGGCTCCCGGCTCCCGCTTTAGGGAGGAGTCACATCGGAGAGACAGGCGAGCAGGCCAATGCTGGACGGGCTCTAGGCCTGGCAGCCAATCAAAGTCCGGGGGCGCGGAGAGGGCCGGAAGGCTAGGCACTGAAGCTTCGCTGATCCCCTGAGGCTGCTTGGCCTGGCCCCACCCCCGCCCTGGGTCCCGGCCCTGCCCACCCCAGCCTAGACTGACAGAGCTGGTGCTTGCAGCTGCCCACCGTGCAAGATAGCCGGCCTGGCCCGCAGCTCAGAGCGTGCAGGGAGCGCCGACCTCGGGTCGAACTGTCGCCCCCACGCAGGGCCTAGATGTTCCCCTCGCCCGGTCTCCCGCCCGCCGCCACCACCCCTATCCTCTCTGACTGAGCTCGGCGCCCCGGAGAGGATTAAGTAAGTGCTGAGGTCTCTCATTCTGTGCAAGAATGGAAAAATCACTGGGTTGCGGAGGCGGGCATGGGAATTGAGGCAGGGAGGTCTGAGGGACCTAGTGGAGAATGGCATGAGGGTTCTCAGAGGTCACGGCGCAGACCCCTTTCACTCCGTTTTTTCTCCTTCCCCTTTGGACCCCAAGGCAAGCCCAGAAAGTGGTCAGCAGGGCATCTTCTCTCCTCTGGATGGGAGGAGAGCCCCAGAGCAAGTAAAGGGTCTAGCCCAAGGTCATGTCTAGGGTCAGTGGCAGAGCTAAGAATAGACTCCTTACCTAGCATAACTGGAGAGAGAGGGCAGAGGGAGATGAGTCTACCCCACTCATGTCCCTCTGCCAGCCTTGTCCTTTCCTAAGGGTGCAGCATGGATGTGGGTACACACACTCACGCACATGCACGCACACACACAAATGTACCCATAAGCACAACAGGGATGCAGTCATGAGCTAGGAATCCCTCCTCTAGATCTGCAGAGTGGCTGGGACCCCTTCCCACACTGTCTTTCTGGGCTGGGAAAATCTCTGCTCCCAGAGGAGGAGGGAAGGCACAAGGGAGACACTTCAAAGTGGGAGCTCCATCCCTACTTCTGAAGATAATCTCCCCTTGCCTTCCTCCTTTGTTCCCACCAGCACCCAGTTCCCCTATGAGGGAAGGGGGGGGGGGCATCCAAGGACCCTAAAGCCTGCAGAAAAACCATGCCTCTATTTCCCGTCTCCTGGTCTCCCCACATTTGCCCCCACCCCCACTTCAGGCACACAGCCTGGACCATACCGCTCACTGAATCCAGTAGCTTCTGTGCCTCCCTGCCTCCTGACTGGGTTAGAACAAAAGAAAAGGTAGAATCTCTACTGGGTGCTCACTGTAAACATGGCTTGTGCTGAACTAAGTCTTTTCTAGGGACTTGTTCATTCTGATATTTCAGTAACCCTGCAATACTGTGGGGATATTAGGCTTAGGAAAACTGAGGCACAGAGGTAGAGTGACTTGTCTGGGGTTATCCAATAAATGGCTGAGCCTAGACAGGATTCAAGGACAGGCCTATATGACTCCTAGGTAAGTTTTTTCCTCCAGGGAAGAAAAAAAGCTACAGAGAGATATGAGGGGCAGGGAGTGAAGAGGTGGGGGTGGGAGGAATGAGGGGCTATGGATGTTATTGCATAGGGAGGGAGCTTTTCTTTCAAATCTCCCTGATATCTTTCCTATCTCCCAGGCATGATTGCTATGATCATTGTACCCACAGACTTCATTTTCATGTTTCTAAATCTACATGGGAACCATAGGTATATAAAGCATGTGTCTTTGTGTCCCTGAACTGCCCTCAAATCTTTATTTTCCCAGTGTCTTCAGAACCTAGAGGCACTTCATCTCACTGCCACACCCCTGTCCTTAGCCTCATGTGTTTATTCTTCCTTTCCAGCACCCACGGAAGAAGGGGGCTTCCTTTATCAAGGAGGTGGCTATTCAGGTGGCCACCACGGGTGTTGGGAGCCATAGGCTGGGGTACTACTGATGTCAGAAGTGAATGGGCAGGTTGACTGACCACAGGCAGTCTCTCAACATCAGCATGAACTCCAGGATCCTGTCTGCTCGGGGCTGGCTCAATAGCCACCCACCTACCACTGAACCTGACCTAGAGCTGGCCACTGATGGGCCCACTTCTGAGACCACCACCCTCAGCCCAGAAGCCACAAGCTTCAATGACACCAGAATCCCTGATGTGGCTGATGGCACGGCTGGCGTGGGTACCATACTTCTGTCCTTTGGGATCATCACGGTGATTGGCTTGACTGTGGCCATGGTGAGAGCTGGGGCAGGCTGGGGCTGGCCCAGAAGGCCCTCCATTGGGGGAAGGCAGTCAGTATTTAGAATAGAAAATCTAATCAGAAGTCAATTTTCCATTAATGTGGGGCTGGGGTTGTGGCTCAGTGGTAGAGCACTTGCCTAGCATGTATGAGGCACTGGGTTCAATTCTCAGTACCACATATAAATAAATAAAATAATGGTCCATTGAATAAACTAAATTTTTTTTTTTTAAATTCCATTAATGATAATGCAATCCTTATTTCCCCCTCCCCACAAGATTTGTCCACTGGGGCTAGAGACCAAGAGACAATTCTTCTGATTGGAAGACCCAGAAAACACTCTGGAAAATACATATTTTGAGATACTCCATGAAGGCCACACAGGATTTGGGGAGGGAGAAGTATGGAGGGTCCTAAGAATCAGAATTTGGAGGCAAGGAGGTTCTGTGAGCAGTAAGCTGGGCAATGGGGCAAATTGTTATATGGGTTTCAGCAGGGGTAGAGACCAGAAGGTGGCTGGGACTGTGGGCTGTAAAGTTGGGGGGAATGCTCTGGGCTTGTCACATTATTGGTAGTATGTTTATTCATTCATTCACTTGGCAATTATTTACTGGATAATTGCCCTGGACCAGACCTTTGGGACCTAACAGAGTCTGGGGAGACAAGATTCTGCCCTGTGGTTCTTATGAGAAATTAATTTAAAACCAAGAGTTTTAGCTGGGCATGGTAGTGCATGTCGGTAATTCCAGCAACTTTGAAAGCTGAGTCTGGAAGAATATAAGTTCAAGACCAATCCCAGCAACTTAACAAGATCCTCAGCAACTTAGCAAGACTCTGTCTCAAAATAAAAATAAAAAGGGCTGGGAATATTTAGTGGTAAAATACCCTTGTGTTCAATCCCCAGTCAAAAACCAAACAAGCAAACCCAAGGGTTTTCACCTAAGCTGGGTGGTCAGGGACATCTGGGGAAGCAACATTAGAGCTGAGACTCAAGGTAGGAACCTGGCTTATGTCATGAGAAGGGGCAGAGTTGAGTAGCTATCAGAATGGGGGTAATCTGCAAGAGGGCTATAAATGACCCCCAAAAGTGATACCCAGACCCTCAGAATGTCACTAAGGGAACACTGGCAATTATTCAAGGCAAATCCATGGAAGTGGAGATCACCAGAAGTCCCCCAAAGGGCCTGGCAATGGTAGTACTCTGCCCATTGCTCCTTCCAGGCTATGATGGCTGGCCTTAGGTTCAGGAGCTTGTTGCTCTAACAAACAAGGGTAGGATGGTCCGTCCATGGCCTGGCAGGAGCTGCTGTTAAACCAGGGTCACCATATGGGCCCTGCAGGCTCCGGACTGCTGCCAGGGAACAACGCTGTCCAGTAAGCATGGCCAGGATGCAGCTCATGAACAGCAAGGCCAGGGCTGAGAGGTCTCCTGGGGTGAGAGTGAGGCAGAATGCCAGTGTTTCCCCTTGGCACCCCCAGGATGGTTTTGAAGATCTAAGCACCCTAACCTCAGGGGCAAAATGGCCTAGAATCTGCGCTTATTACTCTTGGCAAAATATTTTGTTCTAGGAACTTGCTGGTCTGAGGCCTAGGGTGGATAGTCTTCCTACCAAAGGAGGGGAGGTAGGA